ATGAGAGTGGAAACCTTGTGGGAGGCCAAGAAGCAAAATTCTGGTATGACTAGACTTTAAACTCCATGATTTGGGGGACTTTGACTCAATTTGGAGCAGGTCTTGACAGATGGTAAGAACTCTATAAATACTTGTCAAATTAATTAAAGATTAATAACTGGAAACATCTGTAAGATAACAGATGAGGGCAGAGAGTGGTAGTGCTGGTAAATTTGCAGATAATCTTAAATATAGAAGGAGGACAATTTAAATCTTTGGCAGCAGTTGTCAGAACATGTAAAAATCTATATGGTTTTAGGACCTTGATACATGAGTTAATTTTTTTTTACAAGGACAATATATCAAATATCACTAGGTTTATAACCTCCATCTATATGGTTTTAGGACCTTGATACATGAGTTAATTTTTTATTACAAGGACAATATATCAAATATCACTAGGTTTATAACCTCCACCCCCTGCCTGCCCTAAGTGCCACCATGAGGAGTGAACAAACTATGCATAAGTCCTCAATCCCTCTCCCCTAGCTCTGCACAGAGCCACCTGCCCCTTCTCTTATCATGAGAATCACTGCTCCTCAATCACATTTAATACTGGGTTTATAGTGACCAGTCATATGTTTTTAAAAGGAAAAATATTGAGGGCCATTGGCGAAGAGGGATGAATTATACAAAAAGGTTAAGATAAAAGATTATACCTGTTTTAATTAATTCGGTAGTTGTGAAGGGGAAGAAAAATAGATTTGATAACTATTTAGAAGACAATACAACTAAACACTTGCAAAGTTGACTTGTTCCAGTTACTGACAGCACAGTACAAGATAACAATCTTCAATCTGAATGTCTGATAACCTTCCAACAGATATGACTACAAATGCACTTGCTGCCTTTTTTTGACAGTGCAACAAGAGTGATATTTTTGAAATGCCAATTTGATCCAGTTACACTACAGCTTAACATACTATGGTTTCTTCCCATTTTTTCTAGGATAAGGGTAAAACCCCATAAAGTTCATCACAAGGGCCTACATGGTCATATCGCTGTCTCTGTACTCCCCGTTTATATCAACTAGAAATATTTTCTCAGCTCAATTCCTTCTTCCACTTATTAGTAGATTCTCATTGTTCAGTTCTCAATTTAGTTAACACTTTCTCAGGAAAGTATCTGCATGAAGATACAACATAAGATTTTGTAGATCTAAGAGGGACCACTGTGTTGTTGAAATTATATAATAGTCTCCAAACTGTCTAAATTTCTTAATTCCATTCCTTACCTCAGATCCAAACATCGGCTGTCTAATCTTTCACCCATACTGAGTTCTCTTTTACATAGAATATTGCTTAATATTTTAGGTCTACTTTGCAAGAACGTATCATTTTCTTGAACCGTCATGTCAGTTGAGTCATCTCCACTTCAATCCCAGTCCAGTGATATTACACACACACAAACACACACACACACACACACACACACACACACACACACACCACCTATTTTATGCTTTACATACTGATTAACAGATATAAGTAACAACAAATATTTGCTAATAATGCCATATGCAGGTTCTTCCTTAGAGACTGACGAAAAAACTGCGAAGTACAGAACTATTGTACTGGGAAATGTTCTCCATGTTTTCTATGTAGGTGAGACAAATACTTTGAAGTGAGAGTGTCTTTATAACTGTGCCTCCTATTCCCTTTCCAGGTCTCTTCTGCTGTATTATAGAATTAGAGAATGGATTTTATATTTCTCCAGAAAATAGGCAACATTCTATGAAGGAAGTGAGAGTCTCTCACTGGAAACAAGAAAACTGCAAGAAATGTGTTTGAAACCTATTCTCGCCAATATGCTTCATCCAAACAATACCCAATTCCACCCTGCTTCCTTTGTTCTGATGGGCATTCCAGGGCTGGAACGTGTGCACATCTGGATTGGCTTCCCCTTCTTTGTGGTATATCTCATCGCTCTCCTAGGCAACGTCACCATCCTCTTTGTGATCCAGACTGAACAGAACCTCCACCAACCCATGTTTTACTTCTTGGCCATGCTGGCCTGCACTGACCTTGGCTTGTCCACAGCCACCATCCCCAAGATGCTGGGCATTTTCTGGTTCAATCTCAGGGACATTGTTTTTGGTGCTTGCATCACACAAATGTACACTATTCATATATTCACTGGCCTGGAGTCTGTGGTGCTGACAGTCATGGCCATAGATCGCTATATTGCCATCTGCAACCCCCTGAGATATAACATGATCCTTACCAATAAGGTAATAGCCATCTTGGCCATAGTCGTCATAGTCAGGAATTTGGTGTTTATGACTCCATTTATATTTCTCATCCTGAGATTGCCTTTCTGTGGTGTGCGGCTTATCCCCCACACCTACTGTGAACACATGGGCTTGGCAAAGTTGGCTTGTGCCGATATTAGGGTCAATGTTATCTATGGCTTGGTTGCTTTCTCAGTGGGATACATTGACCTTTCTGTGATTGGATTTTCCTACATCCAAATCTTGAGAGCAGTCTTTCACCTGCCATCCTGGGAAGCCCGGCTCAAAGCTCTCAGCACATGTGGCTCCCATGTGTGCGTCATCTTAGCTTTCTACCTGCCAGCCTTCTTCTCCTTCATGACACATCGCTTTGGCCACAGTATCCCTCATTACATCCATATACTTCTGGCCAACATGTACGTGGTTGTTCCCCCTGCTCTTAACCCTGTTATCTATGGAGTCAGGACAAAACAGATAAGAGAGTGTGTACTCAGGATGCTTAACCCTGAAAGTTGTTGATATTTAGTCCCAGGAGGATCTTCCCCAATAGTTCAGTAGAACAATCACAAGATCAAAACAGAAGTAAACACTGGAAATATTTTTACTAAACTCCTCTGGCATCCCACACAAGACAGTCATAATACATTGCCCCCTATTTCCGATAATTTGTATACCCCATGGGAAGGCATCCCACACAAGACAGTCATAATACATTGCCCCCTATTTCCGATAATTTGTATACCCCATGGGAAGGCATAGTTCAGAGATTCCAAAACAATCTCTATCACAAGAAAAGTACCAAAAATAAATCTCACAGTTAAAACTCACTGATACTATAAAATTCCTAATGGGAGAACAAGGTTTGCAAAAAGTTGTGCTTTGAATAACTGCTTTATATAATTTCCTCCTACACAGAGATTCTCTTCATTCACATGTCAGAAGCTGAAGTTCATGCCTTAACAATGATGTGGCATTTTGTGAAAACCAAGCAGGATGTGGTGGTAAGAGAATTAACTCGGAGTCCTATAATCCAGGTTTAAATTCAGGCCCTGGCCTTGACTAGAAGATTTACCTTAGAATTTCATTCAGACCTCTTTGAGTTTTAGTACCATTGCCCATAAATGCTATAAAGCAACATTAATTTGGGACAGTGAACTCAAAAAAAACACTTGTGAAAATCTTTACAGCTCATAAGACATTAAAAGATTTGGAAATAAGCAAATTTATTTCTAGTGTGGTTGTTAACCCTAGCGTACATAGATTTAAGTTACCAAATCTAATTCTAGCGTAGTCACTGATATGAAGTAAGGTCTCCAGCTCCACCAGTGCTTGGGGCTCTTTATTGACTCTCAGCTCTTACCAGGGTCAGAGGGTCTTCAGTCAGGAGATTATAAAGCTTGAAGAGTAAAGAAAGCTCTACCTGGGCTTGAGAACTCAGTAAACGACATCCTCCACAGTTCTTCTTAGGGTTAGCTTTAAGGCAGACTAATAGAGTGCCTGTTGACTTAACATAAAGTCCTTCTCATTAGAGTATGGAAGCTAGGTAAGACAGTTGATTTTCAGGGGGTATTCTAGGAGCTGAAGAAATAAGAAATTGTCTTGTAATTGGAAATAGGACCCTGGCTGAAACTCAAGGTAGGATGAGCAAGGAATATGCAGAGAATAGGACTAAGGTGATAGTAATGTAAAGTGAGAGGAAATCAAATGAAGAAATAATGCTTTCTATAAATATATAAAGAAACAGTGATTACTGTCAGCTTACAAAAGTGAAAACAGACTTCAAAATGATAAATTTTTCACTAATATCATGTAGCTATTAAAAGTCTCTCTAATTTTACATTCCAAATTCTAAACCAATATCATACTCTGCCTTTATGAAATAATTACACAGAAAAATACTGTTTTAATATCAGAAAACATAAATTAAATCCAATATATAAATAAACTAATGCATAAATATTATAGAGTAAACCCCATGAATTTGAGTCTACTGAAAAACTTCAAAATATGAAATTATTTTTTAAATGTGTAGAAAAAAAAATAAGGAGCCAGCTAATAAACATGAAAGAAAAATTCTTCCTTTTAAGAATATAATTCATATCCATTTTTTACAATCTGCTTTAAAAATTATATTCTAAAATATTTCTTGAATATTATCTCTATAAAATAATACTCAACCAGTAAATGAAGGAAACACGTTAATAAAAAAAATTAAAATGCATCATTATTTTAGATCATACAATTTTCTTTCCTGAAATCTTGACAGAATAATCAGGGGAAAAAATTGTTAATAACGAGATACTCAGTGTCGTCAATTAAACACTATATAAAAACGCAGGTATATCTTATGATAATGAAAACTAGTTAAAGACATAATACTCAAAGTTCACAATCAGAGTAACAACCACAAGCATACATATACATACTCCTGGAGGAAGTCATTGAGAGGATGTGACCTCAGGTTGACCAGCAAGCTACCCTGGACATCAGAAGCTCCTCTCCCCTTCTCTGTCTTTGGAATGTATGTTTCGCCCACCATTTTCACATTAAGAGCTGTTTTAAAAACAGACTTCAGAGAGTAGAGGATGAGGCCATCTGGTTGGTATGTGTGACTAAACCTAGTTAAGGACTGTATATATAAATGTATTAAAGATTATAGCAGGCTGGTGCAGAGATTTTCTCATCTGCAGGTAGCCAAGACAAGCCTCATAAGTTCTCTTATTTAACCTGCCACTTATCAATCTGGAGTGGTCTACCTCTTTTTTTCAGTCTCTCCTTGCTCTCCATGTAGGGAGCCCATTTCAGATTTCACCCAGGGAATTACTGAGATTGTGAATTACATACATATGTACATCCTACATACAGATATAGACGTGTGTGTATGTATTCTAATTGGTCCTAGGAAAATGATGGCTGCCTGACTCTGAATCTCATCATACATCCTCTCAAAGAAACCATAATATCAGAAGGAGTGTAAATAAAACCACATTGGCCCACTTCTATCAGCTTGATAGAAGAAAGAGAATGGCAAAATTTCAAATTATTTTAAGATGAGAAAGAGTTACATTTATCACAGAATTTAGGTTCCAAGTGTGGACAGAGGGATGTTTAAAAGATTAAGTGGGAAATAGGGAAGGGGTTTGGAAGACATATACATAGAACAGATAACATCTCCAGAAATGTTTTAAAAATATACTAAATTCTAAAATATCAAACACAGGTTAGGGGGCCCAATGAAAACTGCACTAACTACAGGAAAGTGGCCTGGAAGTGAGGAGGAACAGAAGTGGCAGCCTTCTGGGGAAGGAGGAGATAACTGAAGAAAATAGGTTCCTCTTTAGAGATGTGTTAATGAAAGGAAAAGAGGAAATGAAGGGGGATCAAGATCCTAAAGAAATGAAAGAAGACCACATGGTGTGGCAACCTCTCCCTGATCTCCCAGCACTGTTACCACTTTTTAACTAAACTCATCTTCATGATAATTACAGAAAAGGTGCTCTAGAACTAGGAGCTCTATCAGCAGAATTATGAGAAATAGGAAAAATCAGTACAAATCTATAAAATGCTCTAGTAAGAAGTAAATAAAATCACACTGTATACAAAAATTAATTGAAGATGTATCAAAACTCTAAATGTAAGAGATAAAGCTATAAAACTCTTAGGAAAACGCATAAGGGTAAATCTTCATGACTTTGGATTAAGCAATGGTTTTTTAGTTATAAGAAACTGATATAGATAAAGGATAACATATTTCAAAAGATTAGCAAAGCTGAGTTGAGAATTGGTAAGATGGAGCTAGAGCTGACGAGCTTAATGCGAAAGCAGTACAATTTGAAAAGGGATGGAATATGAAACAGAGACGAAAAGATAAAAAGAACTGAATAAGAATATACACCAAAAACACCAAATATACACCAATGAATACCAAGCTGGATTTATACAAAAGAATATAGAAAATAAGGGAGACGAATATTCAAAGGGATAATGGCTGAATTATATTCAGATTTAAGAAGCTTAATTAATCATGAGCAGAATAATTTTTTAAAATCTGTGCACATTTGCTAACACTCTAAAACCCTAAAGAAAAAAAATTCTAATAGAGCCAGAGATGTAATGCATTACCTACAAAGGAAGAGCAATTTAACTAACAGTATATTCTCAACTGCAACTGTAGATGTCAGAAAGCTGTGGAGACACACATATACATACACACGTATTTATATATTATATATTTATATATAGATGATAGATCTTAGAAAGCAAAAGAGATGATCCAAACATATTAAGGTGAATATGTGTTTCATTTTCCAAAAAATATATATTTGTATTTTTATATTTACATATTATATATTACAGTTATATAATATATATGACATTATTATATAGCAGATACAGCAGGTCCTCAAACAGTGTCATTTCATTCAACATTGTTTCATTATAATGTATAAATACCACACACTAATCGATTGAGCCATTGGAGCTCCATGTTTCATTCTCATGTTAATGAGAAAAAAACTGATTTTGGCTGTGTGGAGTTTGCACATTTTCCCATGTCTGCTCAGGTTTTCTCTGAGTACTCTGGTTTCCTCACATTCCCAACATGTGCAAGTCTGGTAAATTGGTGTGTCTAAATTGCCCCAGTCTGAGAGAGTGCAGGTGTGTGTGCGAGTGTGCCCTGACATGGAAGGATGTCCTGTTTGGGGAGGGTTCCCAGCCTGTGCCCTGAGCTGCAGACAGAGGCTTCAGTCACCTCCAACCCTGAACTGAAATAAGCAGGTTAGAAAATAATTATCCTTCTTGTTTCTATCAATCTTTCTTAAATGTACATATAGCTCACATTTTTTCCAATGTTTAATATAAGAAGTGTTTTGGTTCTTTGTTTAGAAGTTTGGTGATGTTTTTGTGACCAGAAATATGCCATAGGAACTTAACTCAGGTTTATATCAGTTAGCCTATGGTAAAATTGCTTTTGTTACCTGTCCTTTTGCTTAAAGTTGCAGTTCCAAGAACTTACAAATAACCTTAAGTGAGGATTCACTGTATATTTTAATACATTATTGAATAATATGCATATAAAACACTTGTCAATATTTAAATTTTGGTCACTAAATGGTCACTAAAAAAAGATTCTTGAATTAACAATATAGAAACATATTTTTAAAGACACTAGAGTTAAGAAGGAAAGATTGACATCTAGAAGAAGGTAAGAACTGAGATATAATGCCAGGATTTAAAGCTATTGCGACTCTGAGGACTTTTGCCAATCCTGAAGAAATGAGTATAAAATGAAGCAAAAATTTGGCAATATCTGGGCATAAGGAGAAAAAAATCAAAGCCCGGGACTCACCAAGGATAGAGTCTGATAATCATCCTCCCACACAAACATATTAAACTGGAACCCTGGGATATACAATCAGTGTGTGGTTGAAATGAAGTTCATAAATCTTTTTGTTAATTGGTAACTGCTAACTTGATTATATCCACAAAGATCCTATTTGTAAACCTGGGGATTAGGACTT